AGGTCAGTCCACTTACAGCTTCTCTAGTGTCCCATGAGCCAGTGGACACAGTAAATACACCTGGGGAAGCCGAGGGGTCTTTGCACCTTCCCCTGGGAGGTCAGTGCCCGCACAGTCCCCCTGTTCCAGACACACTGTCACTGTGCCAGTCACAGTGTGAGCACCGAGCTTTTCCCAGGCTCCAGAGTAAACCTTGGCAGTCATTGGGCACCACCACGTGTGAGTTACACACAGACACATGGATGGAGGCACTCACCCCACATCAACCCATGTATATACATATATCTCGAATTTCCCTTTCTTCACTATGAATATGCCTCGTTAGGGCTTGGTCAGTTGTTGCTCAGATTACTGACGTGATGGGCTCTGTTTAATTAGATTTTTATTTGTAATATGTTGGAGTCAGGAAAGGGTTCTCTATGCAGCAGATCAACCTCATCTGTGAGAGCACTGAGATCAGAGAAATGGCAAACTGCAGGGTGACTTATACAGCTGCTGAAAAAACCTGCCACCCCCTTAGTTCTGCTTTGTTCTCCTGAGTGCTGATTGCAGCTGCTTCACTGAACGTTAGAACCAAGGGAACCTTTGGGATCAGTGTCAGTAAAACCACTTAGCACATGAGAAGCCTCCCTTTGAGGCCAGGTGGCCACAGCCTTGGAGGGTGTCTGTCTGTCTGTCTCTGGGAGGTGCAGGGGGAGCTTCTCAGCTGCTGCTTTCCCTTACGTGCCAAGACCTCACAAAAACCAGACCAGCTCCCTGGACTGGGACAGCAGCAAACACGTATCTGAGCCTTGTGACATGTCACAGCAGGATCAAAGTCCTTCCCAAACTCTTCTCACTGCTGTTATCTGCAGTGGACCTTGGAATATTTTTTCTTTTTTTCTTTCCCCTAATGCAATTAAGATGAAGCAATCTTTCTCTTTCAAATCTTTCCTCTGGACTTGTTCCTTCTGCTGGGACCACAAGGAGCTGGTCAGTAATTAATAGTGTCATCCAAACGGCCTAATGGCTCCCGTGCAGGTGCCTGGGAAGGTGTGAATTTACACTGTTAATAACATACACAGATAGATTTTTCCATAGAATTTCGTTTTTCCATCCTGGTATTTATTCTGGTACAAGATTTTTATTACAATTGATGTTGAAAGCTGACTAAGATAATCTTCCCAAAGAGCTTCTCAGCTGTGAGATGAAGTTGTGTCACACCCCCAAAGAAGTGGGCAGTACTCTCCAATTACATGAGGAAAGTTCCTCACCTAGTGTGCATGGGGCAACTGGAGCTGTCTTTAATGTTTGTGTGGTCTGTGCAGGCTGAGTGAGCTCAGAGAGAGATGGGATCATGATTTCTGTCAGGTAACCCCAATCTAGTAACTCTTATTAGAGCCCACAAATAAACATTTTTCTCCTTGTTGCAGCACAGAACTGAACAGCTGGAATACCAGTGATATCTCATGTTAGAAATAAATCATATCTGCCCCAGAACTTCTGTCTGGAATTAGCTACTTACACAAGGCATAACCTTGCTGATAACTAATACTGTTATCATGACTCAACTAAAGTTTACTCTGGCTTTCTTTTGGTTCTAGTACATCAATAATTAGGGCTGTTCTGAGCCAGCTCATTGCAGCAGGATTTGGGTGCAGAGCTGTGTTTGTAAAACAAACTTGTCCTTGTGCAGGAGCCAGAATCCCACAGAAACCCCGTCTGCCTTACTCAGGTGGTTCTAATCTCAAATAATTACTTGGATAAACAGTTTCTGCCTGACACCTTTCCCAGATTTCCCATGGGATCTTACATAACCCCTGTCCTTTATGAGGATATTGTAGTATCTGCGGAAAAGGTCACGGGATTCATCCACCCTATTTCTAAACTGCTCTAATGGAAAGTCCTCATTTAGCATTGAAACAATAAACCCCACACAATACTTAGCAGTGTCATTCAGCTGTGATTCAGCTAAAATGCCATATATGAATGTGGGCTTTCAGAACATTCCAGAGAAGTAACTTCCTTCTGTCCGAGGCTCCAGTTTTCTCCAGGACTCGCTTCTCTCCCAGGCAGCTTCAGGCAGTCCCTGCACCCAGTGCTTCAGGCAGAGCCCACTCTGTCCCCTGGCTCCCAGGGTGGGTGGTCACTGGGCACCAGTTCCCAAGCTGTCCCTGCATCCTGAGCCCTCCTTCCCCCTCACCCAGCCAGGATGGCCTCAGGATGGAGCTCTTGCTTAGCTCTGTGGAATTCACACCATAAGGGGAGAACCCAACCTATTAATTTTAGTGCTGTGTGAAAGAGATCAGGCAGTCAAAGCACAGACTTTTCCAGGGCAGCAGAATATTGGCTTTCCTTTGGAAATGAGAGGAGCACATTGGCTGAAATGCTCCCTCCTGCTTCCTCTCAGTAGTTCCTCTTGGTCACAGCTGCTTGTAGAGGGCTGGGCAGTGAGAGATCTGCTGTGACCCCCCTGCATGGGCAGGGCCCAGCCCCACCAGAGAGCACCCAGCTCAGCACCAGGCCCTTCCCAGACTGTGGGACAGGGGCTTTGGTGTGGCCTCAGGTTGCCTTTTGCTTATTCACTTTACCTTTTTTTCCTTCTTCTTCCCCTTGGCAGCTGTTACTTAAGACCAGCTGGGAGGAAATTGGTATCAGTCTGGATAGATTTAATTGTAGTCAAGCCCAAGCCCTCTCCCCCTGAGGAATCTCCTTCCCTATGCCTTTAGTTCCTCCCTTCCAGCCTTCTTTGGAGAAGGGGTTCCCTGGGGAATACCTGAATTTGTGTCCTGCATGAGTGCTGCTTCTCCTTAGATGCTGCTTCTGCTTCTCTGCTGCCTGAATGCTGGTACCCAGTGATTTCCTGGGCTGCCTGCCACAGCTCCTCTGCCTGTCAGTCATTTGTGGTTCTGGAAATGATAATATCAATGTTTTAACAGCTTCAGTCCTCAAAGTTTGTGCTGCTCAGAGATCCAGGTCTGTCAGAAAGTGCTGCTGTGAGCAGAAGGGAGGGAGGATGAATACTCACTGATCAGAAATGAGGCTTTTGCTGTTAATTCCCAGAAGAGCACCAGGTCTCTCTGCCCTTGAGTCTTGTGGTGCTCTGAGGAACACGAGCACTGTGTGATTTTGTGATTTGGAAGGTATTTGTATGTCTCTGGGAGGAGCTGTGAGCCTGCCCTTGCTGATGGGCCAGGTACAAACCCTGGGCACAACTGGGAACTCCTGGGGGATGTGGCAGATCAGGCAGTGGGAGCCTCCCCTCGTGGTGTCCCACTGTGGCAGGAAGAGGCTTGTAAACATTTTACATTATTATAAATAGCCTCACTAATGAGGTAAGCTTGTGTACTCAGTCTAAAACTATCATTTGTGTCCTGGGAGAAAGGTTAGAACAAACAGAGGGACTGCTGCAGGCAGAGCTGGGAGAGGCAGGCTCAGAATCCATGGAGGGTTTCCTTTGGAGTAGCTGGGAAACAGCCTTTGGAGCTGGTGAGGGGTGGAAGCAGGGCTGATGTACAATATTTGTAACCACTTGATTTTTACTTTGGGGTCTCTGATGGGACAAAGTCCCCAGCACACAGTGCAGGACAGACACACAGTGCAGGACAGAGCACACAGTGCAGGACAGACACACAGTGCAGGACAGACACACAGTGCAGGACAGACACACAGTGCAGGACAGAGCACACAGTGCTCCAGCTGATCCCAGGGACTGCATCAGAAGCAGCAGGTGCTCATGAATTAGGAAGCTTCCCTGCAGCTCTGGAGAGCTTCTGCCACTGACCCATAGGCAGTAAATTCATGAGTGACTATTCTCACCAGCCCTCTCTCTGTTTCCCCTCTCCTCCTTGCAGGCAGTGTCGATAAATCAGTCACCAGATGCGATATCAGAAAACTTTTATACAAGTTTTTAATAAAAAAATTCAACAAAAATATATATCATCAGGCATTTTATGCAATGCATACATTCTTTATATCTGCAGGTACAGATAAATAACAGAAGGCAAAACCAAATATTTTGCTTATCTTTGGCCATTAACCAATAATCACCCCCAAAGAGATATTCCAGGGTTAAAGGATAATAGACTGAGTCTGTAAACGTCTCTCATTACAGACACAGTATCAGGCAATAATACAGTAGTCAGATTTTCAGAAATGTAAGGAAACAGTTCTTTAACACTGCCCAATACTGAAATTTCACCTGGTTTGCTGCTCTGGAGCATAAGGCCTTCAGCTGACACAGGCACAGTCCTGGGTTACATCAGATACTCCCCAGCCCTCACTGACCTCCTTCCCTTGGCCACACTGTCCTGGTTGTGGGGGCTGGGACCAGTTTATCACTGTGGGTATAACCAAAACTGGGTATTCTACCCCCTCTGCCATTTCTGATGGACTGGTAATAAATGCATTGTTTGCAGCAGCTGCCCTGGGTACAAGCTGGGTGTTAAACCCTGCCAGGCAGGGGAGTGTTTGTCTTCACATCAACAACCAGCTGTGACAACCCCCCCCCCAGCCCCAGCCCCAGGGGTCAGCTCTGCTACTGGGACATACTGGACTGGCATAACAGGCAGCTGCAACACCCAGACCATCAAAGAGGCCAAAAACATCCCCTGACTGACTGAGTTAAATCCCCCCTTGTGAACTTCCCTGGTGGGGGAGGCACTGGGCATTCCCACCTCAACTTGAGCATGTACAGACTTTGGGGTTTGGGACTTCTGGCACCACTCCTCGGATCCAGAGGAGGACCAGAACTCCACCAGGGCTGCAGCTGCCACTCTCAGCAGGACTGTGACCATCCTCTGACCAACAGGTTTCCTTTCCCTTTACTTTGCTCCCAGGGGGCCCAGGGTGCTGGGTTACACACCTCTCTTTGTGGGTTAAAACCAGTTTTTCTCTGTATCATTTTATTTATTGCAATCTTTCTAGTAAACTGTAACTCTGACTTGTAATCTCTCTTGAGCTGGGTTCATTTCTCCCACAGGTTTCCTTTTAAACCAGCACACACACACTGCTCTACAAAGCCAAGCTGTACCTCCTCACAAAGAAACTAGCACAAAGTCTGACCTGGGGCTCAGCTTCCTGAACCCCAACCAATGCACAAAAGGAAGCTTAACTGCTCTGTAAGTCAATAGTTTTCCTACCTCGATGTCCCAGAATAACAGTTTTCCTTCCACTTACAGCACAGATGCATCATGGCTCTACCAAAGCAATATATACATGAGACACATGAAACATCAGAGAAGCAACTTTTAAAGGTACAATGATAACATGTAGCAGCTTATGTCTATATATGTACATGTTTTCACAGTTATATTTTAGAAAATTGAGAACACCAGGAATACTTCTACTGTGTTTTCTATAAATAGTAAAAAAAATTACCTGTCAGGCATTTTGATAAAATAGTATTTAGGTTATCACTTTAAATAGCTCTTGAAAACCTGTAGAGTTTTAAGCTTAAAGGCTGTACAGTTTGAGGATTCTGTGAAGTGTTTGTGGCCAGTTTCAGCAGCTGGGCCACCTGCCAGCTGCAACTGGTGGGGTTTTTTTTTTTTTTCTTCTTTTCCAAAAAAATCAAACCTGGTAGCAAAGGAACTCCACGAGCTTGGCTGGGATGGGGAGGCTCCTGACGTGGCTGGTGGGCAGGACCCTGCGGATGCCCACGCGGCACAGGTGCTGCAGGCTGGGCACCTGCCGGGGCGCCGCCCAGAAGTGCAGGCTGCCATCCTGGGTCCTGCAAAACACAGCACAAACCCCACCAACATCACTGCATGGGCTGGGCTCACCCCAGCACCCACCCTCACACCCATCTGCACCCACCCTCACACCCATCTCTAGCTGGGGGAGCTGCTGTTCCTCCGTTCCAGCTGTTCCACTCCCATTTGCACCAAATGCCAGCTCTTATTTTAAGAGGCAGCAGCACAATAAGCAACTTGTCTATGCAACAGTTCCTGCCCCTGGCTATCTGATGGCTTCTTCCAGCCCACATGTTTTGGGTCTCTCTCGTATTTATTTTCAAAGATAAGAAAGGAGTTTATCAGCTTATTGATTTTACTGCTATCCCAGGCATGCTTAAACAAATAGTACCAAGTCAGAAGCACCGAGTTGCAAGTAACAACTGAAGAGTTTTAGAACACTTAGCCACTGTTTTCAACCTTTTGTGTTATCTTAGTGTTTTAGAAAGGAAACCAAAGTCTATACTTGCCCTGCAGCGAGAACACTGCCATCAGTGGAGAAAGTACAGCAGAGCCCATTGTTCAGAGGTGCAACTTGTACAGGGTATTCTTCATCAATTCTCCAGAACCTCACCATCCTGAGAGGGAGGGACAATGCAGGAAGTTACTGGAGTAGGTATTTAATTCTGTTTGATATTATCTCTGATGCTGCACAAGAAACTAGTCTGAAGCACAGCTCAGGGAATTTTTATGAATATTTTAATAGGCATACACAGTGTTTCAGGTCTGGCCTGAAATGCTCTGATTTCTTCTTTCCTGATAAATACCTTTCAATTAAAAAAAAGACTGCCTTCAATAACAGAAAGCAATACCTGAACTATAGATTTAGACAATTTCTCAAGTGCCACATATGCTAAGAATTCCCAACAATACTTGTCTTAATTAAAAAAATAAACCCTCCTGTAGATAGTTGAATACCCTTGCTGTCACACTGAGAAAGCAGCTCCCATTCTTAAAACACAGTCCTTCAGGACACCACTCGTGATGTTCACAGAGCTGGATCCAAATCACAGGACACTTTTCCCTCTGCTTTGGAATTTACTTCTGTCCACAAGACTTGTCTGCACCAACAACTCCATTTACAATCCCTCTTAGTTGTTTTCAGCTGTTACACACTTACATTGTTCAGATCATCTACTCTGTACACAACTAATGACTTCTCCACTCAAAATCAGCGTTACCGCACACCAGACAACTCGTCTGCTTTCACCAAGAGCACCAGAAGTGGTTTCTCAGCTGAAGAAGCCCAGCCCTGACAGTGTTCAGGGTCTGCCAGAGCCCTCCCCACACTCACTTGTCGTCGGCCAGGCTGGCCACGTGCAGCCCGTCGTGGCTGAAGGACACCGAGCGCACCCAGCGATCGTTGGCACCGCCCGCGAAGATCGGGGTGGGAGCAGGGAACAGGTGCCTGGGGACAGAGACACAGCTGAGGGGGTGGGAGCAGGGAACAGGTGCCTGGGGACAGAGACACGGGGCAGGGTCCCCTCAGCCACGGCAGGGAGAAAAAGGGGTAGAACATTTAGCTACTAAACTGTTTAACTGGGGATTCAGCAGTGGAGACTGAGCTCTGTGTCTGTCACAGCTCTCAACACTCAGCTTTGCTGAAGATGCCTCAGTCAGCACATGTGGAAGTACCAGTGCTGTAAATCCTCTCTCAGATGGAAGAACAACCTCCAGTCTCTGCCATTTTAGGGTTTCCATCAGCCACTGCTCTTTCCCAAGTGCAATCATCAGTTACATACAGAAACCCACTGATTTTCATCTTCACTCTGGGAGAAAGTTTCCAGGTTTGACGGCTTTACTTACCCAAATTCCATGAGAATAACTCCAATATGTGGGTCCCAGACATAGACTCGAGTATCATAAGATGCAGTAGCCAGTAATGCTCCATCAGGAGAGAACTCACAAGCTACAACATCATTGTGATGTCCTTCAAGTTTCCGTAACATGGAGTATTTATCCATATCCCAGAGGAAAACCTGCAATTAAATAAGCTGATGTTATAGCTCTGCTCAGAGAGGCAATGCAGCATTTAATTTGTTTTTTAAGTATAACTAATCTTATTTAGGATTATATTAAAATCAGGTATTATGAATTACTACAATTAAGAAATATGCTCAGTGTCATACTCAGATTAAAATCAAGGGGTTTTTTTAAAAAATAATTAAAGCAGACATGCAAGTTCTAACTCAAGTTTGTTAAATGTTATTATCAAAATAAGCCAAAATATAAGATAAAGGCAACACAATTTAACCATGTAGCTTACTGATATTCATGTATTACAAAACTATTTTATTAAAATATGCAGAAATAAATAGGGTTAAACTCTACAGTCCCCTCTTTTCAGTAACTACCAAAATTTTAAGAAATATACAGACAGAAAATGTAAGGTTAACATATTGTTACTCCAGTGGCATCCCTTTAAGATCACTTGTTTACAATTGCTTGGATCACCAACGTCAGCCTAGGAAGAGAAACAGATACTGCAAGCAAAAAGAATTTTCACAGCCAAAAGTTATGTCTTTGGCAAAACAACAGGGAAGTCTAACCACATTATTAGAAAGAATTTAAGCATTTTAAATCAACAGCAACAAACAACATTAATATTACAATTTACCCAGCTAATTGCACAGTGTACTATAAGAATTGATAAAATGTTACAGTATTCTGGGATTTTACATGCAGTTGTACATTATATATAATCAAAATAGAGACTGTGCAGAATTACTTAATAGGAGCTATCCATGTACTGCAGCATGATTTTATAGGAATGGAAGTCTTTAACAAAAGCTGTTCTGTCCCTCAAAGAGCTCATTTCAGGGACCCTGATTTCCCCCTCCCCCCAGCAGTTTTACCGCACAGATTAAATTCTGACACCCTGGATAAATTTACATTTGACCAAAGCAAACACAGCCTCAGTGCCTCCCACACTTCCTAAAGCTGAACCATTTTACAATCGGTCACAAACAGCGTTGACCGATTTTTCCGAGGAGCCCCCAACATTCCACAACTAAGTCTGAGGAGTCAGTGTGTGTTTCACTGCTGTGAAAATTATTAAAAAAAAAAAAAAAAAAAAAAAAAGGAAAGCAAGCAAGCAAGCAGACAGTGGACATGGACCAGCACCTGCGTACGTACAGGACCCCTTGCAGCCGAGGGCAAGGTTACTTCGTCCTACGGTACCGGCCCGGGCTGGCGGCCAGGCAGGGCCAGGCCCCCCTCTAACAGCACTGTGCTCCCGACAGGGGCAGCTTAACTCAATCACACCAATATTGCTGCCACCACCTGTGACAGGGAAAGCAAGAAGCTTATGGAAAACACACAGCCTACAGACAGCAATGTACACCCCCCCTCTGCTCCAGCTACAGAGCCAAACCCCAGAGCTCGGCCGTTCTCCAGCAGATCTGCACTGGGAACTCGAGGGATGGAACACATCTGGGCACTCATCTGGACAAGTGGACTGGGCTTTTCACTCCATTAAACTACCTACAGAGCCCCTGGAACCAGGCTGGATCCCCCTTGCTGGTTTGCCCTAATTCTTGGGTGCCAAGAGCAGCTCATGGCACAGCTGCACTGCTCTCAGTTCTCTGGCAGGGCATTAGGATGGGATGGAAACAAAGCTAGTGTGCTGCTCCTCCTCCTAACTCTTGTGCCATTGGTATGGGAAAACAGGGAGAAACGCTTTTGTTCAGCAGGAGATACCCTGACTGGCTCAGACTTTGGAAAGTCCTCACTGAGCAGGAAATAGAAAGCATCAAATCAAATCAAAATAGTTTTATGCATTAATCTAAGTATCTTTTAACATTGGCAACTTTAGCTGTCTTTGGTCTATGCCATGACCCCATGCAGATGTGCAGACCTATTTCTCAAGGAACACTTACAGCCTCTTCAACTAAAAGCAGTGCAAGTTTCATTCACAAATCAGGGTCTCAGTGCACCATTTGCCAGTCTAATTTCATGCACTTTTACATCATCATCAAACATTAGAAGTTCATGACACCGAGCACAAGCTTAATGTTATTTAGATTTCAAATGATTATGCACACAATTCAGGAGATTTAAGGAACAAGGAACTCTGACACATACTGCCTTACTGGCTCCAACAGAGCAGAGGATGGAGGAGTCTGGTGAGAATGCACAGCCATACACCCAGTTCTGATGGCCTCTCAACACCTTCATCATATTTCCTGAAAAGAAAGACGCTGCTGTGAGAATTGGTTTAATATTACAAAATTCAGATTGAAAAGCTCTTCCAAACTAGTTATTCCTTTGTAAAATTTTGTACTGTTTTTCCAAACATCTTGCAGAGTCATTGTACACAGAAATAGAAATCCTGTGATGCAGCCTCTAAATCCCATGTCCCTGTTCAGAAAGTCACTTCATGCACTCTTAACTTGGCCCAGTCCCTGATTCTCCCTTCAGGGTACACACAGATAAAGAATTCCAGGGGAGTGTAGAGTGGGTGACTAACAGAGCTACACTCATTATTTAAGCAATGCTGACCAAACTGAGTTTACAGCAATAAAAGAGGCAAGTACACAGATATTTCTCCCGGGTTTTAGAGCAGATAAACTCTGAGCACGAACCATCATCTTTGAGGTCCCACACCCGCAGGGTTTTGTCTCTGGATGCAGACACTAAAATCAGGCTGCCATCAGGGGCAAAGGTTAAATCTCTGACAACTTCCGTGTGGTCCATCAGGTTCAGGAGGAGTTTTCCTGTTACATGAGAACACCACAATTTAACATGGACTGTACTTTTACTCAGATCAAATGCTTTATGGATACAAACACTGAATACAAAATTACAGCACACAAAGACAATTTTCACTGCAGTGAGCAGCATGTGAATCCCTTCACTCTCCTGGATCAAGAGGCAACTCCCTGAAAAGCCAGAAAATCTGTACACTAGAACCTCAGAAATAAAGCAAGACTTGGCTCTTGACAGACATTCCAGTTCTAAGTTTCAATTTACAAGATAACAGCAAATTACTCAATAGTCAATAGTTTTTTTAAAGCTGAGGAGTTCCTCCAGCCCAGCAGCCGTGCTGCCAGCGAAACTGAGAGTCCCTACATTCAGATCCAGTCTTTTTGAGTTGAACAATTATTAACTTTTTAGAAAAGTAAAAGGTCCTCATCACCATAAAGCAGCAACTTCATGCTTTGAAAGTTTCCTTTGAAAGTATGGTAAAACTAGGAAGATTTTAGAGCAACCAACCCATGTATGTATGCACACATTTAACCATTTTGCATCTTCCACCACTCCCATCTCAAAGCATGACCCGCATCTCTTGTTCCTCTGGCAGGTTTTGATTACTTCTGGTTGCAGGAGCTCATGCCTTTTTTAGATTATTTAACTTGTACTCAAGTTTCAGTTCCCAAGTACAATCCTGTAACCAATTCCTCCTGTGGATTAATGGTGTTACTACAGCACGAAGCCCGTGCTGGCACTTCAGTGTGACGAGGAGTGCTTGGAAAATGCTCTCCGGGACACGGTGGGATCGTCTGGGTGTTCTGTGCCTGGCCAGGAGCTGGACCCCACGATCCCTGCGTGTCCCTTCCAGCCCAGGCTGTCCTGCCTGCACACCCACCTGTGTAGACATCCCAGATCTTGATGCGGCCGTTGCTGAGGCCCGTGGCCAGGAGCAGCTGGTCCTGCCCGAACTTGAAGCGGTGCCACTCGATGTTGACGCAGCGGCTCCGCTTCTCCGGCACCGAGGAGCCGAAGGCCAAGCTCCACACGATGTCCCCGCAGTCCAGGATGTGCTCACAGGGCCTGTTCTTCTGCCCACTCTCACTGCTCTGCCTCGGGAGCCTGGAGCTGGCAGGGTTTGCACCATTCTTTGTGCCGTGCAGCAAACTGAGAAACACACGGAAAATACAAAAATACATCCTGAATAGCAGACATTTCTTAAAGATGCAATGAAACCTCTGAGCTGTCGTAATGTACATCTCTGAGACCCATAATGGGGCATTTTTACTTTAAAATTATAAATGCGGTTTTTTTCTTATAAGTGTGAAAAATTACCAGGACCTGGAAATCTTCCCACATAATATAATACTAATATTTTGTACTCATTTTTATCTCTGTAGAGAGCAAGATATTAACTTGACCCACTGTGAAAGCTAACAGTTTTAAAGCATTTATAGAAAAATGAGTCACAACAATTTCTAAGACTTTCTGCTAAATGAGCAAGTTCCCTGCAATTCCCTTCTATGTGTTAAAACCTGGGCAGAGATACTGAGGTCAGGACATGGAAAATATTAACCACCCCAAGAAGGTGGGGGGAAAAGGGTCAGGAAAATGTAACCAGCTACAGAACTGTAGTGGTTGGTTACCAACTTCACTAAAATGCAACCTGCAAGTGCCATAAACTGTGTTTTGGAACTTCACCTGCATTCTAACACAGATGATGAGGAAAGAGGTCTGCCTGTACGTAAATTCCTAAAAGGTAAAACCAAACAGCTTTGTGATAGGAAATTTAAACGGCCAGATCTGCCCAGGTCTCTAACTTCCCTTTTCATTCAAACTTCCTCTTATTTTAGGGCATCTGAAACTACTAATAAATCCCTCCTCCACAGACTTTGTGAGGCTGCAATAGTTGATGCTCTTGCTGGCCACAGAGGAAGAGAAGAAACAACAGCTGTTACTTTAAGGAAGTAGTTTTTCCCCCAAGGTGCCAAAGCCTAAAAAGCCAGTCTATGAATTTTAATCCATTGAAACCCATGTCCTGCTTTTAAATTGTCACGTTTTTCAGGTGCATTAGAAGCCACAGAGGTTTGCCTTACAAGTTACTGAGGCACTGTGCCCAGGGGACCAGCTTCACTATGCGGTGTCCCTGCGACCACGCCAGGTACGAGCCATCGGGAGCGAACGCGACCGTCCAGTTCTCCCGCCCACACTTCTTGTCGAAGGGAGACGTGGGGGCCAGGAGCTCTCCTACCGTGCGGGACCGTGCTGGGGGAACAAAGGGGAAAGGCACTTGAGAAAAAGGCAGCGTGTTACAGCGGCGACAGGGGAACCAGGCAGCGCCTCAGCCCGCTTTTGTTTCTCGCCATTTAAAGTCATCGAGAGCCGGGTCTTGTGTCACTGAGGAACCGATCCCAGGGCTGAGCCCGGGCTGCCAAACCCATCGAGTCACTGGGGAGAAACACGGGGCGTTGGACTCCTGCTTGTGCTGCGGGTGATGCCGCACCTCGGGATCATCGGTACCGCATCTCGGGATCATCGGTACCGCATCTCGGGATCATCGGTACCGCATCCCGGACCATCGGTACCGCATCCCGGGATCATCGGTACCGCATCCCGGACCATCGGTACCGCACCCCGGGATCATCGGTACCGCACCCCTGAATCGGCGGTACCGCATCCCCAGACCATCGGTACCGCACCCCGGGATCGGCGGTACCGCACCCCGGGATCATCGGTACCGCACCCCGGGATCATCGGTACCGCATCCCCAGACCATCGGTCCCGCACCCCGGGCTCGGCCCCGCGGCCCCCGCGCGCTCCCGCGGCCGGGCCGGGAAGGGCTCCATGTGCCGCGATCCCGCCCGTCCCCGGCGGGCAGCGCCGTGTGAGCCCCGCCCGGGCCCGGGTCGGGCCGCGCTGCCCCCGCACCCCCGCCCCGCTCACCGATGAGCTTCTCGTTGACAGTCGGGGGAAAGCTGGCCATGGACGGGCGGCCTGCGGGGCGGCGGCTGCGGCGGGACCGGCGGATCGGCGGCGGCGAAGATGGCGGCGGGGAGGCGGCGGGCGGGGCGGGGGCCGGGCCGGGGATGCTCCGCCCGGGGCCGGGCCGGGGCTGCGGGCAGCGGCTCTGCCCGCCCGGACCCGGCCCTGCCCGTCCGGCTCTGCCCGCCCGGCCTTGCCCCGCAGTGCCGTGCCCGGCCCGGTTCCCGGTGTGACCCCCCCGCCCGCACCCCCGTCCCTCCTGTCGGCGGCAGCGGCACCCGCAGGTACAGCCCCAGCCCCGCCCGCGCCAACAGACGAGTCACAGTTAAACGACACAAGGGTGTAGTGACCTGGCTCCCCCAAAACGTGGAGGTTCAGAGTTCAGCAAAGAACCACAGTGAACACACACATTCCCCCCCCAATATTGCAATCAAAAGGTGGTTTCTAGCCGCCGATGGGGTTGTGTTCAGAGTCTACCGACTCCTCAAATGGGATAAGAATTGTTCTTATATTGCCTAAATGGCAGACCAGCAGCAGTGAATGTTCCTGGCACAGAGAGTTAGAGATTGTCTGCACTATCTTTTAAGGCAGGTTGTGACATCCCTGATGTCTGTTTGACCACGGGACTACAGGGTGACACGTAAACCAAAAAATATGCAAACACTTATATGACTGCGTTGTGGAATGTGTGTAGGACAGAGATGTGAGCACTTAATTTCATCTGCCCTAACCAGGGGCTGGAAGAGTCTCAGGACTTTCCTGCCCTTTGATGTTTCTTTATAGTTCAGCATCTACATCCAGCAAGAGCTTGTTTATGATAAAATTTTGAATTTGCTGTTAATGTCCACAAACAACTTGGAGAAAGAGACCCTGAGGCCACCTCAGTCTCTGAGTGATTTGTATTAACATCTCTGTCCTCTGCTTTCTCCTTCCTTTTCTTTCTCCTTTTGCATATCTAAGTTCTGCCCCTCTTCCTTGCTCGTCTGGACTTCAGAGAAGCACCCGGCAGGATAATTAACTGCAGATAATGACTGTGATTTCATTCCAAAGCAGTGGCCTCGCTGGCAGACGCTGCAATAGCCATCGGGATCAGCTATTCAGCAACAGCCAGGAATTACCCTGGCTGAGCAAGGCCAGCAAAGCTTTTTTTAACCTGGGTAGTGACACAATGTCAAAGAAAGGAGCAGGAAGAAGTTTGGAATATTTTCGGTGATCCAAACACTAGCCTGGATTAACAGCAGTTTGTATAAACTCCCTCAGCCCATCATAGCATTAATTTGACACAGCATAACCCTGTTCCTGCTCTATCCAGCCTCCTCTGCCGTGAAGAGCCCTGAGCAGCTCTGAGCCCCTCATCTCTTGGCACAAGGCAGATTTGTGGCCAGTGAATGTTGTGAAATGCTGCTTGGAGTTGCTCCTGAGCTGGGAGTGTTGGAGCCAGGCAGCCCCTGGCTGAGGGGGCTCATGGAGGTTTCTCCTGAGGGTCTGAGCCTCCCACAGAGCCAGCACAAGGCTGGGTTCTGTTTGCTGACCTTGGGGCTGTTACAGCCAGAGATCAGAGCTTTGCAGGGTGTTACCAGCTTGCTGCCTTCCTTGCTTTTTTTTTTAAGAAGAAAAGTATTTTGCAATTTATTATTTCTTTATGTCTCTGTGTTCCTGTAAGTCCTGCCCCAACAGTTGGTGTTTCTTCCTCAGTGTGCATTCTGCACATTAGCATAGTAGATTTAAGGCCAGAAGAGGTGATTAGGTCGTTTAGTCTGCTTTTTATACAGAGGAATATATTTTAATCTAATTTCACACACCTTCAAAGTGAGGCTTTCCAGCCTTTACAACACTGGGATCCAACCGAGTCCTGTTGGGTTCTGTTTGCTGTCCTGGTGTGGGTTGTACTGACAAACCTCTGGGAGTCTGATCAGCACAGTGAGTGTAAAACACAGGAAAGGACTAGAAAAGCCCATGGGGCTTTCTAAGGCCCACAAGTTATGTTCCTCCTCCTCAGAACTGCCATTCTATAAAGCACTGCTGACAGGAATAGTTAGGGCCAGTCACACCAAGGCCAAGGTAGGTGATCTGTGCAATAGTACCTGCATCTCGGAGCTCTGGCTGTCATTAAAAATTATGCTATTTTTAGTCTACACTGTTAATAATTCACAAGCTCCTGTTTGTTTTGAGAACCTTCTTGGGATGGAGAAAGTTCTGCCTGAGTTTGTGGAGGCAAAAGAGAAGGTGAAAAGAAAAACAAGAATGGAAGAAAGAAAGAGAGGACAAAGAGGTTGAAGAGGAAAAGGGATTGCAGTGAGGAGAATGATGAGCAGCAGAGAAACTAGAGAAGTGCTGTCAGGAGTTGGACTTCAATGACCCTTGTGGGTCCCTTCCAGCTCAGGATATTCTGTTATTCTATGATTCTGAGGAGGTCCAAGTGACAGCCCCCCCAAGGTGAAGGGTTAGAAAACCCTGACATACAAATAAAGCAACAGCCCAGCCCTGCAAGGAACTGTTAAAGGAGCGGGGCCTTGCACAGAGGGCTTTGCCATTTCACAGGCTGGAAACGTGCTTTCAAGGCCCTGAGCAGCCTTTGCCCCTCAGTGTCTCTGCCCCCCTTGCTGCAGTTCCTCCTTGCCCTGAGGTGCTGCAGGGATGGCCCCGTTTCAGCTGTTGCTTCATTTCTTGTGGTGTTTGTGGGGTCACCCCGAGCAGTCTTGGCCCCGTTTCAGCTGCCGAGTGTGGGCTGGTGGCCCTGGAGTTTGCAGTCAAACAGACCAGACAAACAGCTCTTGGGAGGAGGAGCAGGGGGATGAGGCCACTTTCTCAGGGTCATCTTGGAGCAGCCAGGAGCAGAACTGTCTGATCTTCCCACAGGTTCCCTCCCTTGCTGGAATTCTGAGCTGTCATTTCTCTCTCCCCTTTTCCCTGTTGCTCTGTAACTTATTCACCGTTGCTTCTTGTGAAAATTTTTAGATGGTCATAAATTGACGTAGATCTGGTACCTCAGGGGTTAATCTGTAAAGGTCTGCTGAAAGAGTGTGTTGTGGAAAAGCTGCACAGATGGAATATCAGAGAGACTATGGAATTTTGTCTCTGCATTCTTTTGGTCTCGTTGGGATTTTGTAATTTTTGGAGCATGTCTTTGGGTATAATAAATAGAGCAGATGGCTCAGTGTGTGGGGGGAATTGAGAGCTCCCATGATGAGTAGCTGCACTGGAATAAGGGAGACAGAAGTTTGGGGTTATTCCTTTTAGGTTCAAACCATTCCTTCTCTATAAGCCATGGATGCCTTGTAAGGGAGCTGCTTCCAGAAACATCTGTGCTAAATTTACCCACTGAGGGTACAAGAGGCCTTATCTCAGATGGCTGAAGGTCACACTCAGCTCTGAGCTGTCCTAAGCAAGGGCAGTAGAGAAGGTTCCCTGTGTTACAGAGGAAGCAGGTCAGGCTCCCTTGAGCTCACTGCACCCACACCCTAATGTCTGCCAGCATAACCTCCAACATCCACACAGCTACTTCACTTCTTCTTTAAAAACTCCTTTCTAAAACTTACTGGGTTTGTGTTTTCCCCTTCAGCCTGTGTCTCCTCTGAGCTCAGCTGCCAGGGAAGGTGTCCAGGCCCTGTGCCAGGGCAGCACGATGCTCCAGTGCACTTCAGCTGTTCCCTGGAATGGGAAGGGACTTCCTTTTCCACTGGGCAGTGAAAATTGGTGCTGAGCTGGTCTGTGTTCCTTTGGCTTCAATTCCCTCACTCTGCTCTGTAATTACATCTGAATATTTGCAAAGGTGCAAGACCCGAAGTCTGTCATTATAACCAGGGTTCAAAATGTACCAAAGGATTGTGTGAACAGAGGGAAAATCAATGGCACGGAGGGTGTCATTGTAAATGCCAATAAATCATCTATAAATTCAATGTATAGAAAAGCAGGTTGAGTTTAACAGGAACAATGAGAGAGACTCCCTGCATTCTGTAGAGCAGATCAATAACATGATCAGAACAGAGGAAGGCAACATGTCAGGGAATTACAGGCTGTGTGTGATTGTGTGACAGCTCCTGCCTGGAAACAGCCGAGGCTGCATTCCTGCTGCGGGGAGTTGGGAAAGAGCAGGTTGTTTATAGATAAAGAGTGTTTGCTCACAGATCAGAGATGGGCCTGAGCTGGCGTGGAACTGAGCTTGAAAATATTTGGGTGGCCTGTATGCAGGGCTGTTGCTACAGGGAACACGTGCAGAGGGCTACAGGGAAGGTGAAGAATCTGAGAAACGGAGGTTCTTTGAAGGTGGAGGTTGGACAAGAGAATTTCTAAAGATCCTGCCTAGCCCCATCTTGTTGGGCTGTAAAAATGTTGGAAATAGGTAAAAGAGTGAGGGGAGAACTCAGGAACTCCCCTTCTGTGTTACACTGAGGATGTGCAGCCGTGTTTGCCCCGTGGGAGAGTGAGGCTGGTGTAAAGGAGCTGCAGCAGCACAGAGCCCAGTGTGCTGTTTGACTGCCCCAGCCACGGGCTTTGTTTCCTTCTGTCTGTTCCCAAACAGCCCTGGGTACAGAGCACCAGAGCCCTGCCTGCTGTAATTCACCTCCTGCCTCACCTTCCTCTCCACCCCAGCATCACGTCTGGCTCTGATCGGCCGGGGTCACTCAGTGAGTCTGAGAGCTCTTCAGGGAAGCCCTGCCCTCTGCATTAACGTAATTGCAGGTTATTTGTGAGATTCCTTGCATGGCTTTGCTTCCTGAAGGTCTGGCACAGAAATCCGGTTTTGTAATTTGAGCCCTAACGAGCGGCTGGATGTAATTACGGGCTCCGTTCTCCCGGCAGCCGCTGGAGCGGGGAAAGTAAAAGCTGAGTGTTGCCATTAGCCCTGGAAATGCACCGGTGGGGAGCTCATAGGTGGGCAGCTCACAACTGCCCTGCGTGGGCTCTGTGTACACAGGCAGGACTTGGGGTCCACTGGATCCTGCTCTGTGCTGTTCACAAACGTTTCCCAAAGAGCCTGGTGGTATTTCTGGTTACACCCCCACTGTAGCTCTCCTGAAGGCACAGATTGCACACAAAATGTGTAACAAATAAGCCTTGACAG